CCAGTCTGGGCGACCGAGTGAGACTCCAACTCAAAAAAAAAAAAAAAAAAAAATTTTTAGAGATGGGGTCTTGCTATGTTACCCAGGCTTGTCTCAAACTTCTGGCCTCAAGTGATCCTCCCACCTAGGCTTCCCAAAGCGTTGGGATTACAGGTGTGAGTGAGACACCGTGCCCAGCCTAATCCAGGTTCTAATCTTGGCTCTATGTGACCTGCAGAAAGTCCCTTACTCTGTGCCTCCATACTCCATCAGTAAAATGAGGGTAATAAAATCTACCTCTTACGGGTTGCTACTTGTTAATCAGGTCATGCTTAAAAAGCCTTTTAATCCCAAAGTGTGACTGAGACAAACAAACCAACAATAAAACAACTTGACTGGGGAACAGTGCCAGGCAGGCGGGCACACACCCCATCTGGAGCCAAAGGAAACAGAATCATCACAGCAATCCCATCCAGTTCCAGAGGCTCTTGGCCACTAGATTCCTTCGGCATGCCAAGTCCCAGGGTGCGGCCAGGGCCAGCCCACCTGCTTTAAAGCCCACCCACCCTCCCCACCAAAGGAATGGAGGCCCTAGGAGGGTCGAGGCCACCTGCCTTGGCATCAACCTCAGTTTAGAGAGAAGGTGGGACCCTCCTTTCATCAACGCCACTCCACATTCTTCCTCCCCGCCCGCGACCCCCTCGTCAGCCCAGGGATGGACCAGCTATGTCCAAGTATCTCCAGAGACATCTTTGGTTCCCCTCCCCCAACCGGTGGAGAAAAAGGGGGGGGGGGCGAGGGGACTGCTAGGGGAAGGATAGGAGCTGCGCCCACAAGGCGCTTCTAGTCTAGACCGGGTTTTTGGCGGGAGTTTCTCACCTACACAGCCCTTCCCACAGATCCACCTTCAACAAATCTCCAACGCCCCCCCAAAGATCCTCTCGGCACCCCGAACCTCCACTCGCCCACCGACCCAGGTCCCCGAAGAACGAAGAGTTTCTGCAATTAGACCGTATCCCTCACACAAGATACTCATGAGACAAGAGAGGACCTCGGCCGAGCCTCCTGCCCCTTTAAGCGGGCACCTCTTCCAGAAGAATCTTGACCCCTCGGAGAAGAAAGGAGGGAAATAACATCTCCTCAGAGGGGCGGGGGCGAGAGCACCAGAGACAGACTGACCCTCCGACAGAGAAAGCAAGCGCCAGCGAACGAGCGGGGCAGAGAGGCGAGCGCCCATTGGCCGCCTCGCCTGCCCGTCAGGGGGAGCCGGGGGGCCAAGAGCCGCTCAAGGGGCGGAACTCTCCTCTGGCCTGGCCAATTGGAAGGCGTGGCGGGGGCGGGGCTAGGCTGCCAGGCTTCCAGGGCCGGGGGGAGACAAGATGGCGGCTGCGGGAGGGGGTCCTCTCTTTTCAGCTTCCCCCCTCGCCCGCCTTCTCCTTCCCTGCTGCCGCCCTCGCTCCAGGAGCGAGCTTTCGCACCGTCCCTGCCCTGCTCGGAAAGTCCCCCGCTTCTCCGGTCCCCCCCGTGCAGCCCCTGGTCCCCGTAGGCCCCGCTGCCCCCGCCCCCGCTCCGTGCGACCCCGCTGCCGCCCGCATTACCTCAGCCGCCGGCCCGGTCCCACCGTTCGGGGCCCCTGGGCGCGGGAGGGCCGGTTGCCGAGCAGGTCGGCGCGGCCCGGGGAGCGGAGCGCGGTCTCTTC